TGGAGGGCACTTGTGGTTTCACTTGAACTTCTGGCCACTATAAGTTAGCAGTCAGGCTCTGTAATAATTTACGTCGTCCAAGGACTCTGGAATAATTTTAAATGATAGGAAATTTGCAAATATTATATGGAGAGTTCCTTTATATCCTTTACCTAGCTCCTCCTAATATTAACACTTTACACAAACAGCACAGTTATTGATACCAGAGCATTGATATTAATGCAGTCTTCTACCAAGGATTAGAGCTTATTTGATTGTTGCCAGTTTGGTTCCTAATGCTCTTTTTCTGGTCCCAAATCCATTCCATGACCCTGCATTTTGTTTAGTTAGCTGTGTCACCTTACTCTCCTCCAGTCTGCTTTGGGTCCTCCTCAGTCTTTGCCTTTTGTGACCTTGAGACTTTTGAAGGTCAGAGGCTATGTAGACTGCTTCCAAATTTTGGTTTGTGTAAACGTCTCCCGTTGTTAGTCTGCCAGGTGTCTCTGTACATCTTTTATTTCCCTTTGTAATCAATCTGTGTCTTGTGGGGAAATTCCTTGAGGCGTCCTGCAAAGACCCCTTTGTCCTTGGACTCTCTCCCACTGGTCTGTGGCCGCTGGTGGGTCTTGCCCTCGACAGCAGTTGCAGGCGTTTGTGTGCTCGGTAGTAACGTGCTGTTCCATCATTCCCTCTACATCTGTTACTGGGATTCTGCTGCCAGGAAAGGCTATCCCTTCGTCCCATTGACTTACTCATTCAAGTATTGGTATCAGTATGGTGTGCACGTGTTCAGTTCTTTTGAATTGGTTCTGACACAGCAGCTTGTGGTCCAGCAGAACAAAACACTACCCAGTTCTGCACGGACTCCGCGATATGAGGGAGATTAAAAAAATGTGGGGAAATGGAATGAAAATACAGTGGAATTGACACAATGAATGTATGGATGGATTGTGATAAGAGTTGAACGAGCCCCAATAAAATTATTTTTTTTTAAAAAAGTGAAATTCTTCCACAGACTTTTCAAAGCACCTTCAAATTTATTTTGTGGGTTATAATCCAGTGTGACTCAGTGTCTTCTCTAACTGTCTCAACTTTGATGATAAGAGTCTCTTTCAGGTGGTTTCTGTATCCTATCAGAATGTCTCCCTAATGTTTGGAGCAGCTCTTACTTTCTGAAGCTGTAGGCTCATCTTGTGTCTTCCCTGCCTCAGCTTGAGAGCCATCCATTTTGTGCTGCTTTTTGCATCAGAGAATGGGACTTACAAACCAAGATTTGGGCATAGGTGTGTCTTGCTACCAAGGGGTCATTATTTCTAGGCCCAGGGAACAAAATGCTCTATTTTCTAGCAATTCCTTTTCTCAGGATTCTGTGATCTCTTTCCATTCTTTATATACAGGCATAATTAATTACCTCTTTTCCAAGAGGCCCCGGTGGTGCACTGGTTTAAGTGTTGTACCCCTAACCACAAGGTTGATGGTTCAAGCCCGTCAGCTGCTCCCCGCGAGGAAAATGAAACTGCCTGCTCCTGTAAAGAGAGACAGGCTCAGAAACCTACAGAGCGCTTCTGCTCAGTCCTGCAGGGTCTCTGTGGGTTTATGTGATGTAGTCTTATTGTATAGTCTCTCCCCAATCACGTCTATTTCCTTAAATATTTCATACATAGTATTTTTAAAGGTATTCGAATCTTGCCCTGTATTCATATTAGTTTAATTACTCCTTTTCATTAGATATTACTGTTTTAGCGTACATGTAGCCGATGCTGTCTTTGTACTTTCACGGGGTACTTAAAATGAGATCGCTATTGGTGTTAGATGATAGCTTTATAGCTCTTAAATCTACAGATGCAATGAATGCCTTGAAATTTTACCAAACTAAGCTGAGGAGGAAAAAAATCTTTTAAAACACTGAAATAATGCCAACCTAATTTTCATATATATATTTAGAACTGTATCTAATTTATGATTTGATATTTTAAATAAATCAGAACTTAACGTCCCTTTAGAGACTTCAAAATAAAGCATCTGAGAACATCGTGTCTATTTGGGAAGCAACACAACTTAAGGAAGAAAGTTGCCGTAGGCATTTCCTACGTGTCCTTTGTCTTGGTAGAGAATAAAAGCCATTGCATTAACTTTCTATCCAAGGGGAAGAAATATCAGGATCTGATATCAGTGGGTCAGAGGAGGAGGAGGATGACGAGGGTGAAGTCGGAGAGGATGGAGAGAAGAGGAAAAAAAGAAGGGGTAAGTTCTTCACAGTGACCTGACTTGTGAAAGTTAAGGGGTTAGCCTTTCTTACAGCGAGTAGGTGCTGTCAACCTTTTCTGTGTCATTTTAGTGATGGTAGCAATTAGAACAAAAGACATATTAACTTTGCATGATTTTTTCCCTCTTATACTGGCCTCCTGTCTATAGGGGACACATTGTCCCATATGTTCAGTTACTTTAGATTTTACAATGCTAAATATCTGTGATAGTGGTAACATTTTTTAACATTGGGTACTGTTTTAAACAGCTAAGAACTTTAGTCTGTATTTGGATATTATGGTGTTTTTCTTCAAGTAATATCAGTCTTAAAAATCGTTGAATTTTTAATTATAAATTTATGTGGGGATATTACTTTTTTAGTATACTTTTTTAAACTAAGGTTTTTCTTTCTTTTTTTAAACATGCTTTTCTTTGAAATTAATTTACTTTGCTGTTGAGAGTATTAAGATACTATTTTAAGTTTATTCTTTGTAACATGGATTCTCACCCCCTTGTGGGATATTTGTCACCAAGTGTAAGTTAAGACTGTGTTTGCTGTGATAACTATATAGAATAGCATGCAAGAGACATATTATAATGGCCTGCATTTCAGATTTTTTTACCCAAGTATTTATTTCAGAATTCTCTTCCATTAATGTGGATCATTGTTTTCAAGTTGGTGCATATTTTGCTTGTCTTATTAAAATGACCTTGCTGAAAATAAAGGCCACCATTTTTTGATCCAGAGCCCCATATTTAAAACCTTAAAGACTCCGGAACTCCAAATGGCCAGGGGACACATGACTTAGAGCAAGAGTTGGCAAAATGGGGCCTAGGGGCCACATTTGGGCCACCACCTGGTTTATAAATGGAATTTTGTGAAAGCTCCCATGCTCACTGGTCGAGGTCTGTCTGGTCTTTTGGCTGTTGCATGTTAAAGAACAGAGATTCATGCAGTGTTAAGAATCTCACAACGCCGAAAACATTATTGCCTCACTTTTTATAGAGAACATTTGCCAACCTCTGATTTAAAGGAAGCATTTTGTGTATATTTCCCTAATTTTTTTCAAAACTAAAGCAGATAATGGATTTGCTAAATAGCAAAGATTGCCATGTTTAACATGTTAAAATATTTAATAAGCCTTCTCAGCCCTTTTCAAAGTTTTGCCGTGAAACCTTGGATCTGGTAGTGTGATGTTTTGGAAGTGAACGAGCAAACTCGGCGCGTGACCGCCCTAGCCGTGCCCTGTCAGAGTAGAGCTGCACTGCAGTTTTCAGTGCTGCTCTTTAGGAGGCAAGCTGCCAGGTCTTTCTTCCAAGCTATGTCTAGGTTTGGGCTAGCAGCTGAGTTCATGAACCATATGTTTGCATCCCTGGGGACTTCAATCCGGCTATAAATACAGGGTAATTTGACATGCGTAAATTTTTAGTTCTGTGTGACCTTTTAATCCCCGGGTGGTCCAGAAGGCAGGATTTGGTGGTTTGAGTCCACACAGTTACCTGACAAGAAAGGCCTGGTGATCCCTTTTTGAAAAGCAGTCAGCCATCGCAGACCCTGAGGGGACACCATGCCACCCCGACACCTGCAGGGTCGCCGTGAATCTAAACGTACTCAGCAGCGACTGGACAGGACTTTTTTTAAGTTTTAAAATTCATTCCTTTAGCTTATCAATCCAAATAGCTTACTAAGACTTAAGTATCACCAAATATTTATTTTTTATTCTTGTCACATCTTCCTTCCGAAATCTTTTATTTTGGGTTGGTCCTGGGTTTTCCTACAAGAGTACACACGTCACGGAACACAGGTTCTAATTCCCCCGTATGGCTTGTGCAGAGGAAACTGCTTGAGAGTGGTTGTGAGCGGGGCGGGAACAAGTCCTGGTGCTTGAGGACAAAGCTGGCCTGTCCTCTAAACTCTGTTCTTCTGGAGGTGACTTTCCCCCGTGGGTGTGGTCATTTCTCGCTCCTCTTCCTTTGGCTCCAGTTGGGCTCATTTCTTTGTCTTCCAGGCAGTAGCAGCAGCAGTAGTGCAGACTCCACATGCTCTGTGATAGAGAAACCTCTGGATAAGTTCTTGCCTCGTGAGTGGCAACTCGTCCATTCTCTCACAGAGCTTTGGCTTTTCCATAACCCATGGGCTTCATCTGAGAAATGCTGCCCCGCTCCCTGTCATGACTTACCAATCCATGTTGGACTTCTCAGTTGACCAAGCATGTGTTGATCCTTCCCCTCCCCTCACTGCTTCCAGTTACCCATAATCTTTGGAACGTGCTGAAGCTGATGCTTGAGACAGTGGAAGAGCGATTCATGCTGTTGCAATTGAGATAATGTAAAGAGAGCTAGTAAGCTGGATAAAAGAGTAATTCTTATTCTTTTATATATTTTGATGATACTGTTCTAATCCTCGCCAGTACAAGGGACATGCAGTACAAATGCCGCAATTCTGAAAGTGTACATTTTATTTGGGAGTGTGCCATTGTCCATTGAAAAGATTTCACACTTTGGCGGGTATCCTATTCTTAGGAATAGTTTAAGATAGAAAGTTTCCAAATTAAGAGGGGGGGAAAAAAAGCAACCATGAAGTTTGGAACAAGTAAAAATAAATTCAATGGTATTTTATTCAAATGACCATTGATTTCTATTTCTAAATCATCTGATCAATTTTAAGAGAGCTTTCTAAAGTGGGTTTAGAGAGTTTAAACCAGTGAGAAGTTTATGCAGAATCTATCTAGACTTATCTCAAGACTCTTTTGTAAGCCTTACCTTAGTTAGTTAGATTGATACTTCGTGTTCAGAAGCAAGAGATGGTTTTCTTGAGCTAGCGTGCAGCTTACTGTCTTTTAGAGCATTATCCACATACTTAACCTGTTCCAAAACTAATAACAAGAACACTTGGTCATTGTTCTTAGCTTTTGAACTTCCTTGATGAAGAACATTTCCAAGAATCTTCTTCCCTATTGATAGTTATTAAGCATTTTTTTAACAAAATGATTACTTTTAGAAGGTAATTGAAATTAAAATCAATGTAATTGATTTGGGAACAATACAAAAGGTGTATTATAAGTCTCAAAACGCAAGAAAAATGTCTGAGTGAGAGACACTGTCATTTACCTTCCCTTGCTGTTTTAAAGCTTACCTGAATTCTTTAAAGGCAATTGTGTTCAAGTGTGGGGGAAAGACGTGGCTCTCTGCTTGCTCAGGACTCACAGCCTGGGAGGCCACCTGGGACAGTCCCACTCTGCCTGCAGGGTGGCTGTGCGTCAGACTCAGCAGGGAAGCAGTGCGTGGTTTTGCTTTATAAAGTTTGCTCTGAAATGAATTGTACTTTTTCAATTCAGGAAGCTTTGGCTACTGTATGCACCCCTGCCCATAACCACTTGTTGCTGTGCCGTGGGTGTGTTGGTGAGGTGGAGGGCTGGCCCCGCATGGGGTTGCTTCCTGTAATGTGGATGTTCTCTCCCTTTACAAAGGGGAATGGCCTCTTTTATTTTGTAGGTGCCCCTTGCTTGAGTCATCATTTTGTCATTTACCTTTACAGAATCATTGTTACAGTTGCCTTTAATCTAGTAGATGGAATGTAAGTAAGTTTATTATTATTCAGGTGTGCTTCACTTCAGGTAATAACTATTCTTCTGAAAAAACTGGTTAGAAATCAAGTTGGAAAATCAAATCACTTTCTGACTGCATTGGGAGAACTTTTTAGTTTTAAAAAGTCTTCATTAAATTTTTCTGTTAAGAAAAATGTAAATTACTATCACTGAACTATCTGTTTAGTTGGTTGAGGTTTTGTGCCAGATTTTCTTAAAGAGGAGCCTACCTGTAATGGATCTTTACACTGGAAGGAGCATTGAATTGGGACATTTGGGGAATGAAGAGTGTGAGTTTTTGTTACTTTAAAAAATTGGCTTGTTTTTTCTGCTTTGCCCATTTAGACAACTTCCCAGGTCTTAGCAGGTTCCCAGTTCCATGTCTGCCTTTAGTATAAGCACCTGGTGCCCCATGGTTATATTTGCAAGAGTTTGGGAGTCAGTGTAAGCTCCTGAGATTGGTTTGAATTGCAATCTTAGGTTGAATTAATTGTATGTTGGCTCAAATTACATCTCTCACTGTGTTAATATGCTCCTTTTACATGGGCCCTATTTCAGTTTTGATAATGATTTGATTTGTTTCTATACTACTCTGTAAATGAATGCTATTGTGCTTTTGTCTTTGTTTTATGAAAGAAATAATGTTTCCTTTTTTTCCTCCTCATCTCTGTGCACATGCTTCCTGTCTGCGATTTGCTTACTACTTCTTATTGCAAGATCAAGCAGGTTGGTGTGATTGATTCGCACTCCACTCGGTACAATTATTTATCCCATCAAGAACTTTGTTATTTAACTACATTACATTTTCTTAAAATTTAATTTTTTTTTAACAAGGTAAGTGTTTGTCTTTAGATTTTAAAGTATCCTTCATGGATAACTTAGGCTTACCACCCCACCCCCCAAAAAAAAAAAAATCAAGAACTCCTTTTTTGTCTAAATTCTTTAAGACCTATGAAATCAAGTTTTGGAAATACCAATATAAAGAATTTCACATTCAAACATTTATCCCCTCGCCCCTCCCTCCCTAGCTAGGATTCAAATGCCTGGGTCTCTATGTCCAAGGGTGCTCACGTCATGAGCATGAAATTAATTGAATTAATACCTTCTGGAAAGTCTTCTGTTTAACTCCCTTTTGCCAAAGTTCACCACGCTCACAGTTTAGAGTAGTGCATACGGCAGAGGCAAAGGGTAGTTTAAAACGTTACTACTCCTGTTGAGTTTAATGAAGATCATACGCTTTTTTTGTTTCGATTTCTTTACCTGAAGTTTGGTCCTGAGCTTTATCATGGAGCATTAGAAGAAGGTTTTGCTGGTTTGTTTAATGAGGTTTTGTTTTATTATTAAAATATGTATATGTGGAAGTGACTTTAAATGATGCCACGTTTAAAAATGCCGGCTTAGGAGAGAAGGCACCTGGTAGCCGTGGTTTAAGCTTTGGGCTGCTAACTGAGGGGTTGGCAGTTCAAGCCCTCCAGCCGCTCCATTAGAGAAAAATATACAGCCTCGGACCCTGTGAGGAACATTTTCTCTCCGTCTGATCAGCTCGTGATGGATTGAATTGACTTGACAACAGTGGGCTTGGCTTAGGAAAGAGGTACAGACTCACATTTAGTTTAAAATAGTCTTTGAGGGAAGATAAAATTATTTGTCAAGAGTGATTCTGGCTAGAATAATACGTTACCAAGTATGACTTTAGAATTTAAACTTGGTTGTGCATGCATGGTCATCTTCATAAAAATGACCAACAAGATTTTTGCTCTGAATGCTTTTTAATGCTTACGGCCACTTAGACACAGTAGCAAGCCCTCAGTAGGTGTGTACATTTGTATCTCTACATATAAAATGTTGCATTGCATCTTGATGGGCTTTGCAACTATAAAATTTTAACTGTTAATAACACTCTAAAAGTCTGTCAGTGTTTGGATGTTGACCAGATCATTTTCTTTAGTGTCCATGTCTTCACAAACACATATTTTGTCTTAATACATTAGCCTTTTCTTCTTTAAATGTTTGTAACTCTGAAGCAGAAAGGAAGTGATGAGTTTTTAAATGCATGCATTTGCTTTACACCTGAAACTTTTCCCTCTCACATTTCTATAGTATTGCTGACAGGAAACCCTTCCTAGGAATTCTTTAGAAAGAGTGATTTATTGATTTTTTAAAGTGATTTTTGAACATAGTATAATTTGAAAACTTCAATATAGGGTGCCAAAAGTGACCACAGAAGTATTTCTCCAACCTGACTTTTGGAATGCAATTAATCACACCACACCAGAGCATGAATTTGGATCAGCGCTTTTGTTTCACCTTTTATTTAGCTTTTTGTTTTGTGGCTTCAATTTGTTTTGGACTTACATTTCTGTAGAAATGCAAGGTAATGTATTTTAAATCCTTAAGGTTTATGATAGTAACTTTGCTTCCGAGAATGAGAGCGTATGGGTGAATATGTGTCATGGTTCCTAAAAGAGTGTGTGCATATATATATATATCTCCATCATAATTACTTTTTAATTCTCTTTTCTTGTAAGCTGGAGGCGTTAGCTGTTGGGTGGAGATATTAGCAGCCTATACATTTCTGGTTTTCATCCTTCTCTGGAGCAGCTCTGGTGGTGGTGTGGTTGGCACTGGGCTTCAAGCCACATGGTCCGAAATCACCAACAGCTCCTCTGGAGAAAGACTGGGCTTTCTACTCCAGTAAATAGTTGCCATCTCAGAATCCCCAGTGGTCCTTTGGGAAGGAAGTTAGGAGTGTCAGGAAGCTTTCTGGATGGTGTCTGGACATCTCTCTGAGACATTTGATCAGCTTTCTGAAGGAAAGTATGTTTCTAAGAGATTGCAGTACCAGAAGTGAATTTGCGCTGATTTGGTTTTAAAACCAGTTTAATAGGCTGGTTTGTATGTCCTCCTTTTGATTTTTGATTTAATAAACTTTTATTGAGTGCCAATTTATATGTATATGAAGCATTCTATTAGACATAATCAAAAGAGTTAATTGAAAGGGGTACTTCCAGCTGTAGTATTTTATAGTATTTCTGTTTGTTTTTGACACATTTATTTTTGACTTAAAGAGCTTATTGTGGTCTTGAGTTTGACATGATAATGAGTTATTTTAGTTGCTCATTTGTAGTACTATATCATGGCAGCTGAGCACTGTAGAGTGACTGAATTTCTCTGTAATTTTTTAATAGAATCTCTTCCCTTAAAACTATACTATGAAATAAAATACCTCCAAGTAATTTTATTAATAATTTTAGAACTCCGACAGATGCAGAGTATTTATATAAATTCTGCCCGAAAATTTTACCTGCTTATTTCATACCTATATGTAACTTTTATTTGTGCATTTGCTTTTGCTTTTGCAGGAGATAATTTGAGGAAACACTTGGTTTTATAGCTTATGAGAAAAAGTAGCCCAAGAGTTGTGTTTCAACCTACATGTGCTATTTAAGGCACACAAATCTGCTTTTCAAATGTATTTTGTTTTCTGTTCATCCTTCTGCTCATCTATTCTGCTGCTCCTTCGTTTTTGTGTTCAGCTGCCATCACCCAGTTAGACAGCACTCTGAATGTAGTTTTTAGTTAAAGCTCTTCCAGAGCACAGCAAATAGGTATAGAGGTTGTCCCTTTGGTTTCCTTAAAAGGCTATTTTTGTATTTTTGTGTCATCAAGGTGGTTGTGCATGGGATAATCTGCACAACTCATCTTTGTGATTGTGTCCATTAAATAACTTACATAGGTAAAAAGAAGGTTTCTCCAGATAAGATGGTTGAAATGCAAGCAAAAATTGAAGAGGAGAGGAAAGCACTTGAAACAAAGCTCGACATGGAGGAAGAAGAACGGAACAAGGCTAGAGCGGAGCTGGAGAAACGAGAAAAGGATCTTCTTAAGGCGCAGTGAGTAGGATTGGATCGGGGTGAATTCGTGATTTAAATTTGTAGTATTTTTCATAAGATACACTGTGTTAGTCTGGGTACTTTAGAGAAACAAATCCGCAGAAACTCATGTGTAAGAGAATTTTAGATAAAGGGTAAGTGCGCATCAAGAAAACATCCCAACCCAGTGCTTCTCAAGCCCACAAGTCCAACATTAACCCATATGTCCGGCACCAATCCATAAAGTCCTCCTCCATCTAACAAAAGATACACTATGACGCTGACTGCAGGAAGAAATCCAAGTCAGTGAACGTGTAAGCATCTCAGCGCTGGCAGGGGTCTCCACACAGCTGCTCCAGCACCCAGGGCTGCATTGGGGTAGGTCCATGTGGCTTCTCCTCAGGGATGTCTTGCAGGAAGTGAGCCTTGCCAGCTGAAGCAGGGAACTGGCTAAGGCAGCTACACCCTGGTGCGACCATCACAAAGCAAGAGACCTGAGAACTAGAAAGGCGAGGCTCACTGAGCCATTTATCTCTCAGCCCTTCAGTTAACCCCACATGTGTTTATCAACCAGGTTGGCACAATAAACATTAACTCTCTCATCCACAAACAAGAAAAATGAATAGTAAGTAAATAGCTTGAATTTTGTCTCCAGTAGATGTAGCCCTAGATATGAACATCCGACTTATGTACATAGCCCATAGTTACAAGCCAGTCTGTGTAAAGAAATATATATATATATAAAATGTTGAGTAAAATAAGTTAATCATCCAAGGACAAATAATGTGTGGTCTTTTATATAAAAAGTCAAGAATAGATATACACATAGAAAGCAATGAGTTTTGCTGGCTACCAGGGATGGAAAACAGTGAAAGGAGGAAATAATTTTTTAGATAGTACATATTTGTTACTGTTGGTATTGGGAAAGATAGTATGTAATATAGTTGGAGACTGCAAAAGGTCCCAAGGCAAATGAAGACACTTAAGAAATATGGAAGATAATAAGGAACAATTTCGTTAAATACTCCAAAGTAAAATTTTGCAACAATCATGCAGCCAGAATATATGTGGTTTGTATGGGCATATGTATCTAGGACGGCACATGTGAGTAGGTGAATATGCATGAATGTATATGTATGTACATGTGTATGTGTATTGCAGATGTTAGTATATATGAAATGTGCTAATAAATATTAAACGCTGGTTGTCCATTTGTTCTACTGTGATGGCGTACATGTTGGTGTGATGCTGGAAGCTATTCCACCCAGAGTGAAGAGGATTCTCAGCATAGCTTCCAGACTAAGACTATGAAGAAAGGATGTGCTGTCCACTTCGGAGGAATTAAGTCACTGAAAACCCTACAGATAGCATCAGAACATTGTCAGAGACAGCGCCAGAGCCTCTCCGGTCAGAAGGCACTCAGAATATTCCTGCGGAAGAGCTGCCTTCTTCAAGTAGAGTCGGCCATAATGATGTGGATGGAGTGAAGCCTTCAAGACCTTCATTTGCAGATGGGGCAAGACTCAAAATGAGAAGAAACAGCTGCAAACACCTATTAATAATTGGAACTTGGAGTGTAGGAAGTGTGAATTTAGACTTGGAAGTAATCAAAAATTAAATGGAACACAAAAAGATCAATAGCATAAGCATTAGTGAACTGAAATGGACTAGTATTGGACATTTTGAATCATGCAATAATATGAATTACTGTTCTACAAATTCGAGAGGAATGACATCACATCCATTGTCAGAAAGGACCTTTCAAGATATAGAAGTACAGTGCTGTCTGTGATAGGGTACTAGCCCTCTGCTTACAAGGAAATAGTTAGTACAACTGTTATTCAAATTTGTGCACCAACCACTAAAGCTAGTGAAGAAACTGAAGATTTTTACCAACGTTTTCAGTCTGAAATTGAAACATGCAGTCAAGGTGCATTCATCATTGTTGGTGATTAGAATGGAAAAATTGGAAACAGAAGAAGGAACAGTAGTGGGAAATAATGGTTTGGGTGATTAACAACAAAGCTGAAGATCACACAATAAGAGTTTTGCAAGACCAATGACTTCTTCATAAAAAATGTCTGTCTTCCAGCAACGCAAAAGGTACACATGAATTTCTCCAGATGGAATACACAAATCAAATGGATTATATCTATGGGAAGAGATGATAGAGAAGTTCAATATCAGCATCTCAAGTGAGGCTGGGGACTGACTGTGGAACAGACCATCAATTGCTCATATGTAAGTTTGGGATAAAGCTGCAGAAAATGAAAAGTCTATGAGACGCAAAATACAACCTGGAGTCTGTCCCACCTGAATTTCAAGAACATCTTAAGAACAGATTTGATACTTTGAACACCAGGGACAGAAGACCTGATGAACTGTGAATGACATCAAAACACCATTCATGAAGGAAGCAAAGGTCATTAAAAAGACAGTAAAGAAAGAACAGATACACATGGATGTCAGAAGAGACTCTCAAACTTGCTCTTAGTCATAGAGTAGTGTGTGTTAAGCCAGGATGGCTAGAGAAACAAATCCAGTGACACTCATGTGTTTAAGAAAGTCCCTTATAGCAAAAACTGGTTATCAAGGAAGCATACCAGTCTAGCTCGACTCAAGTCCGTAAGTCCGATGCTAATTTACAAGTCCTTCAGACTCACTCAGCCATGTGCAGTGATGCAGAATGCAGGAAGATCACAGGCTGGTGGGTGCAGAGTTGTATGGGCACAAGGTCAGTGGGAACACGGCAGGGCTACAGCAGCTCTCGGGGTCTCCAGCAAGCAGGAAAGTGAAGTGGGAGAGAAAGCCCTGCTTATGAGAAAGCTATGCCCCCAAGGGGACAGCATCAGGCCGTGACCTGATGGACAGGTTTGATTCCAACCCTAGCCAGGAGTGTCTGGTTGACCCAAATCACCTGACTACCATAACTAGCTAAGGCAAGTGGGGGAATGATGAAGTCGAAGAGCCGAACAGAACATTTCAGAGATCAGCTAGAGAAGACAGAAAACCGAATAGGAAGAAAATGCTTTCAGCATATCTTAAACTGAAAGAATTGAAGTTGCATATTGAAAGATTATTTTATCGGCAAGATACTGAAGGACGCAGGAAGCATCAAAAAAAGATGGAAAGAATACACAGAATTATAGTACCCAAAAGAACTAGCTGACATTCAACCATTTCAAGAAGTAGCATTTGATCAAGAATCAATGGTAATGAAGGAAGAAGCCCAAGCTGCACTGAAGGCATTAGTGAAAAGGCTCCAAGAATGGACAGAATAGTAATTGAAATGTTTCAACAAGCTGGTGCAACATTGGAAGCGCTCACTGTTTTATGCCAAGACATTTGGAAGACAGCTGATTGGAAGAGATCCAAATTGTACCCATTCCAAAGAAAGGAACCCAACAGAACGACAAGATTGTAGAACAATATCATTGAAGTGAAATTTTCACGCAAGTGAAATTTTGCTGAAGATCATTCAACAAGAACTGTAGCACAGCACATTGACAGGAGCTACCAGAAATCAGGCCATATTCAGAAGTGGACATAGAACAAGGGTTATCATTGCTGATGTCAGATGGATCTTAGCTGAAAGCAGAGAATACCAGAGAGATGTTTACTTGTGTCTTATTGGCTACACAAAGACATTTGACTGTGTGGATCATAACAAATGATGGATAACCTAGAGAAGAATGAGAATTTCAGAACAATTAATTGTGTTCATGTGGAACCTATGTGTCGATCAAGAGACAGTTGAGCAAACAACTAGGGAATACTACATGGTGTACAACAGGAGGGGTGTGCATCAGGGTTCTAGCCTTCCATCATACGTATTCAATCTGTATGCTGAGAAAATCATCAGAGAGGCTGGACTATATGGAAAAAAATGTAGATTGGTGGAAGGCTTATTAACGACCTGGGATATACAGACGACACTATGTTGCTGGCTGAAAGTGAGGAGGACTTGAAGCACTTGCTGATGAAGATCAAGGATTGAAGCCTTAAATATGGGCTACACCTTAAAAAAACATAAATCCTCTCATCACTGGACCAATAAGTGACATCACGATACATGGAGAAAAGATTTAAATAGTCAATTTTTGTCTTGCCTGGACCTCCAATCAGTGTTCAGGAAAGCAGTAGTCAAGAAATCAAAAGACGCATCGCGTTGGGTGAATATGTTGTGCAAAATGTCTTTAAAGTGCTGAAAAATAAAGACTTTGAGGACTAAGGTTCACCTAACCAAAACCATGGTATTTCCAATTGTTTGATATGCATGTGAAAATTGGACATCGAATAAAGAAGCCCAAAGAAGAATTAGTGCATTGAATTGTGGTGCTGGCCAAGAATTTTGAAAGTACCATGGATTACCAAAAGAACCAACAAAGCTGTGTTGGAAGAAGTACAGCCAGAATGTTTCTTAGAATTCTTCTTAGATTAGACTGGTAGAGGACATTATGCTGAGTAAAGTAGAGAAGCAGTGAAAAAGAGGAAGACCCTCAACAAGATGGAATGACACACTGGCTGCAACAATGGGTTCAAACATAACAGTTGTGAGGATGGCACAGGACCAAGCTGTTTTGGGTGCAGTTGGTCATATGGTCACTGTGAGTCAGAACTGACCTAACAACAATCAAAGGACATATTAAACCTCATGGGGGCTGGGGGTACAGTTACGGGCACTACCAAAATATAATCTAAACAGCTCATGGAATTGGTTTACTGAGTTTGAAGGCTTGACACCACACCATGGTCTTGGTATAACTCGGTCAGCTGCCACAGCTGAGTTCATAAAAATAATGTTCTACATCCTAATTTGGTGAGTTGCACTTGGGGGGGTCTTATAAGCTTGCAAGTAGCCATCTGAGATACAGCTATTAGTTTTTCCCATATGGATAAAAGGAGAGTGAAGGAAACCTAACACTTAGGAAGAAATTAGTCCATATAACTGATATCTAATGGCCCATGAGAACTACAGCCTCTTCTAGTTTGCGACCAGGAGAATTAGATGTTGCTCGGCTATCATGCTTGACCATGTTGGCTAAGACACAATAGAAGGTTGCAACTAGAATGACAGGAGAATGTAGGACAAGAAACTATAGGAAGGAAAATTGCTTTTAAAAAAAACCAGATTTATTGGATTGAAAGAGACTAGAGGAATCCCCCAGACCATCACCCTAAATTACCTTTGAGCTTGGAATTGACGCCATCCTAGTCGTTATCTTTCATCGAAATAGAAGATTGGCTTATAAAATAGACATCACTGTTGAATACTGTGCTGCTTTACATTTATCAATTATATGAGACCAAACACTTATTGTAAAACAAAAATGAGACCGTACCGTGCAGCAGGGAAGCTAGATTAATGGAAATAGAACAGGCGACTAGAAATAAAGAGAAAGCCAACATAAAGAGAAAGCCAACATAAAGAGAAAGCCAATGCAGTCAGTGTCTGCAACAGTATAAAACTTGTTAAAATAGTCCCCCTGGAACTAAACTACTTAAGGGGAAGATGAAGATGGCAGGGAAGATGGAGTTAAAGGACTTAAAGGAAAAAAATAAAATAGATTTAAAAAATAAATAAATAAAGGACTTAAAGGAAAAGATGAAGCAAAGGAAGTTGGAGAAAACCAGACTCAAGGAAGCAGTTGGTCCAGAGGATTTAAGGACCATGTACCATAGCAGCCTCCGACCTGAGATCTGACCACTCTAACCGGGACCACAAAAGAAGCAAGTTAGAATGGGTAAAAATTTAAAACAAAATTCAAATGCAGTGGAACTTCAGATTCCTGGTCTGAAAGACTGGAAGGGTCAATCCCATCCCTGTGACTATCACCCAAAGACAGGCTTCTACCTTGAAGGTACTGCCGAAGGTCACCTTTTAGCCTGTTAATAGATGGGCTTGTAAAATAGACAGTGACCCCCCCAGGAAGAGTAATCCTTAGAATAGAAGGGGTACCCAAAAAAGGGACAAAAAGCTCTGTTAGGCAGAGCTTTCATAGTATGCATTTCTCCCTGCTAGGCGAGCATCCAGCAACTCCCTCTGAGTTAGTGCACCCAGTGACATCACCTGGGAAGGTTCTCTCTGGTCACGGTGAATATTTTCAGAAAAGCTGTTTACCTCAAACCTTGTTTTTTGTGATGGCCGATTTAAGAGAACAGTGTGCAGCTGTGAAATTTTGTTTCCTGCTTTGGAAAAATGATGCAGAATCTGTTGTGTTGTTGAACACAGCTTACAAGGACAGCGCTGTGGGAAAAACTCAAGTGTACGAGTGGTTTTCTCAACTCAAAAAAGATGATATGTTGATTGATTCTGGTCGTCCCAGTCAACTTCCCCAAATGGACAAAAATGTTGATGAAGCGCATTTGGAGTTGGTTCCCCCAGGTCAGACTGTTAATCAGGCTTTCTATTTAGAGGTTCTGAAAAAATAGCCTAACTGTGCAACAAAAAAGGCCTGATTTGTGGCCGAGTATGGACTGATTTTACCACCACAACAATGCACCTGGTCACAGCCATCTCAATGTGCCAGTATTTGGCAAAAATCAGATGCCTCTCTTGCCCCACACACCTGACTGACCTGACCTCTCTCTGTGTGACTTTTTTGTTTTTGTTTCCACAAATGAAGAGGGACATGAAAGGACAGTGATTTGATGGTTTAGAAGGGGTGAAGAAAAAATACGAGGTAGGTGCTGTCAGCCATCCAAACAGAGGAGGTTGGAAAATGTTTCCAAGAGTGGAATCGCAGATTTGACAAATGTATTCAGTGTAATGGAGAGTACTTTGAAGGTGATAAGGTTGTTTTGTCAACAACAACAACAACAACAACAACAAAAAGTATATATATAAAATATATAGCTTGCGGGGCATGTGGAATCTGGGTTTTGGAGGAGTACCTCCTTGTAACCCTCTATTTGAGATCAAAGGGGCAATATTTACTTCCAACCCAAGCTGGACACCAGAGGAATGGCAATGGAGGAAAGGGGAGAACTGTCAAGGAGCAACTGGTGTGTGAACTGCTCACTGGAAAGTAATTTGCTGTGTAAGCTTAGTCCTAAAGCACAGTAGCATATTTTAAACAGCAAAGACTTAGGAACAGCATCGGTTGGTAATATGGATACCACTGAATAACTACTGGTAAGGAGTCTGGTGGCACAGTGGGGAAGTGTTCAGGTGCTAACCAGGAGCTCAGCACTTTGGAACACCCCTACCCCCACCTCCCCGGTTGCTCCACCAAAGGAAAAACCTGATGTTCTGCTGCTCCCATAGATTACGGCCTGGGGGATTCTGCTGTGTCCCATAGGTTCACGGTGCAGCACTGGAAAGGACAAGCTGGCATGCAATAGCAGCAGCACACTTAGTTTTGGATAGAATGGTTTCATTGTATGTGGTATGAGTATTTTTAAAATGCGTATGTATCTGTTTTTATTATTTGATCTCGGAAAGAAACAGAATTTTTGAATTGCCGATGAAATCTTAAGTGAATGCTGCACAATGTTGCAAATTGGTAGAAATGTTACATAACTGTAGTTCTGTTTCCGAAAGTGGACATCCAAATTCTTGTTACATATTGGGAAATGATAGAAACAGTATAAGATTAATAAATGATACATGATTATAGAGTGACCTCATTCTAATGGGCAGGCAAGAGCATCAGTCTTTGCTGGAAAAGCTATCTGCACTGGAGAAGAAGGTGATTGTTGGTGGTGTTGATTTGCTGGCGAAAGCCGAGGAACAAGAGAAACTTCTTGAAGAATCTAACATGGAGCTAGAAGAAAGGCGGAAAAGAGCAGAACAGCTCCGCAGAGAGCTTGAGGAAAAAGAGGTAGTGCAACCTCGTTTCTTAAGTGTTTGTCTGCTGTGTTTAACTTTTCTAGGCAAAAGCTAATGATCTTTTAGCGAAATTTTACAGAAGATTATGAATTGCTTTGAAAGATAATTAACGCTTATTTGTACCATCAATAAAATGATTCAGTTAGTGATTTAGTGAAGAACATTATTCTGAAGCGTGCCCGTTTTTGTGATAGCAAGAACGCTTGGATATTGAAGAAAAATATACCAGCTTGCAAGAGGAAGCTCAGGGAAAGACCAAGAAGTTAAAGAAAGTCTGGACTATGCTGATGGCCGCAAAATCTGAGGTTGGTGTTAAAGTAGCTGCCAATGTAGCTCCAGTCGTCTTTCATTTAATTTCTTAGATTAAGAAGTCATAATATGTCCTTATAATTTTGAAGAAATAAAATACTTCACTTTTATGTGCTGTTTGAGATTTTAGCTGTAAGCTGAAAATGTTTCTTTTCCTATCTTCTTTGCGATAACAGGGACGAGGGGCTCGCAGGTAGTCTCAGCCCCTCTGGTGTTTTTGTGGAAGACGTGAGTCAGCCCTCATAAGGCCAGGCCCTATGTCATGTATGTCTCTTCTGAATATTTCCATGACTTCTCTGGTAGATGGCGGATCTCCAGCAAGAACATCAGAGGGAAATAGAAGGTTTACTGGAGAACATCCGACAGCTTAGTCGGGAGCTTCGACTTCAGATGCTTATCATCGATAACTTTATACCTCAGGATTACCAGGTACCGGGGACATTTTCTGACCCACATGCTTGGTGTCACTATTTCTATTTTAATTGAAGTAAATATGTACAGGTCATTTACCAACTCTGAACATTTCTTTACTAATACCATCACATTTCACTTCAGCCGTTAACCTTGTCTTAGCACATTACTTGCTGTTTGCGTATCCACATAAGACTTCCTCAGCCCTTTGCAGGAACGCAGATCTAGGTAATTGCATCCAGCCACAGGGCTGCTCAGTCATGCAGCAACCTTAGTCATGTAAGTCAACGCAACACGAGTCCTGTGCACATAATGTTCCTCTGCCAGTAGATGTTTATCCTTAAAACGAGTATAATTTTAAAATCTGAGCTTCTGTTTTTTTAACTGTATATTTCCATCTTCCTAGTCTATTTTTGTAAACTTTAAAATACTGACTTTAAAAAAATCCATTAAAAATTAAATTAAAAATTCCATCTTTCATCTCAATACAATTTTTTTTGTCTAAAAATAAACATTGGTGCTTTGTTTTTTGGGGGGAACAGAATTAAATAAATAACCAAGGAATCCTTGGTTCATGATACATTCTCCTTTTTGGTCCTTGGATGGTCTGGATTTGTTGAATTCGTTATTTTATAATGAACTCTGGTGAACTCATCACCAGAAATAAAGCTAGGGCTCTGATAGTCAACCACGTGTTCCCCTCCCTTCCTCTCTGTCTTTGCCTCTTCCAACCCAGGCCCTTGTCTGAGTCCCAAGCTCCTCACTCCCTTGCTTTTCCCTTTCATGTAGTGTGACTACATCTGCATACATAGTCCTAACAAGTGTATCTGTTAGTTTATAGATACATATATGTAAATGCTAGTGCAATTTATAAAGACGATGTCATGTATGTAATGATGTAATATGTACCTTTTCCACTTAATATTATCAAGATTTTAGTATCATGATTATTTTTTAATATTTTAAATGATACTAAACATTAAAAGTAGGTTTTACCTCTTTTAAAAGGAAATGATTGAAAATTATGTCCATTGGAATGAAGACATAGGAGAATGGCAGCTAGTGAGTATTATTTTCATTTTCTGAGATTTTTACGGGGTACTTCCTGCGGCCTAGGAATTGTGCTGCATGGGGTAGGAGGTGGTCAGAGAGGAACTAGAAGAGACTCCAGCAGGGATGGTGATATGTTGTTTTTCTCATTAACCATGAAATACAGATTATGCAATGGAAAAAGTATAGGTTGGGGCTACATGGGACTGGTCGACCTCAGGATCACCTTCTGTTTTAACATGCAAAGCATGTCTTACAAGTGTAACTTTGGAGTCTTGCACAATAATTTGCTTTATTGACAATATATAAAGATGATTCTCTAATTAAGATAATTCTCTCTTCCTCTCTTTTGAGAAATGTGTTGCTTATACAGGAAATAACATGAGGAAACAGACCCCTGTACCTGACAAAAAGGAGAAAGATGTGAGCATGCTGTATTTTTTTTTTGCTAACTACAGTTTTGTTGTTATTGTTCTTCTGTAGAAACTCAGGCCACTAAATCATGTGACCAACTGGATATTGGATAGTCAGCTCTGTGGAAAATGGACTAAACTTTTGGGAGCATAGGCTGTAAAGTGCGGGTGATTATTAGGACCTTTCTGTTCACGTTCAGTCATCATGGCAGGCTTCATGTCTGCCACAGAGGGACAGGAAGCCAGTCTATACTTTGTGGTCCTGGGGCTCTGGTGCACTGGACTGTGTCTTCCCTGTCACAGCCTCCCTGGCTCTTAGTCAACAAGAAGTGGCAGCAGCGTTAGGGAAAGCAATGGTTATTCTTTATGTCTGAAGAGCTTTCGTATCAGCATGTCTTCATTTATCTATCCAACACGTGGTGAACAGTCTGTAGATGTTAGGGATTCGTTATTGAGACCCGCAGATGGCATCTTGGAGACCTTCCTGTGGTCTTGTCTTGTAGGCATTTCCCCTAGGAGTGTGTGCAGTCTTTTCAGTCTTTCCACACTGGTTTAGCTTTCTCCTTTGAGTGTGCCTTTTCTCTGTTTCTTTTCCGTAGCCCTTCGAGGTGGACCTTTCCCATGTGTATCTCGCCTACACAGAGGAGAGTCTGCGGCAGTCCCTGATGAAGTTAGAAAGGCCACGGACTTCAAAGGGGAAAGGAAGGCCCAAGACCGGGAGACGGTAAGGAGGCCCTCTAGTCACATGACTCGAAGGCATTGAGATATTCTCATAGGTAGCAGTTCAAGGAAAGGAAATGTATTTAGTTCACACGATGACTACTCTGGCTGATGTATTTAAGAACAAGTCAAATTTTAATCCATTGCTTTAAGAAATACTGAGCTAATTTTAAAATTATGTAGTTAAAATTTGCATAATTAAAATCTGGCTAAAATATTAAGGCCTCCAACTTATTTAATCCTTCAGGGTAATAGAATTTATTTTCATAGTTCACTTTGTTCTTTCCAAATATATAATAGATCACCCGCAGCCTTCATTCATTTCTGAATGATTCTGCTCAGCAGCTTTTACACGTGTTGAACTTTTAAAAGTTAACACTTTTTTTCCTCTAGTTAGACTCCCAGATTTTAGGTGATTAATTTTTCTGTCTTAAACAAAGCCAAAAAACCTCCTCAGTTATGAGCTGGGGACCTCTGCTCTGGGAGTAATCCCCATGCACATGACACGGGTCTGGGACACTCGGTGCAAGGCTCCAGCTGGGACTCGTTTTTCTTCACCTTCCCCTTACTTCAGGGCTGCCCAGCCTGCTGTAGTCTAGGGCTTGGGGCTCTTCAAGTGGTGGATATTAAGACTCTCCCCCCACACTCTTACCCCCATTTTAAATACACGTGCTTTTGAGTTACATGTAGGGTGAAATTGTATGTTTTCAATATTTTCAGATTGTGTAATCTTACAAAGATCCAGCCATTATAAATTTTGGATAATTGAATTTGGAGTGGATATAATCAGTTACATATTATTAAGTATACCCTTTTTTACATTCTTTATCATTTAGGCCTGGTTCAACATGCATGTAATATTTCTGAATTTTGAAGCAAATCAATTATAAGAAAAACCAATCTCTCCATCTGTTTCCACTCTTTATTGAGATACTTTCCTTTCTACTCTGCCACCAGGAAAACAACACGTAGGCGTGGTGGTAAAACTTGCCTCAACTTGTAGGCTGAAAAACAGAAAGTGATGGAGACTGGGGCAAGCGGGAGAGTTGTTCTGTGTCAGCAGAGGGCTGCTGTTCTGTCCCTAGGTAGTGGTAGGAATTGAGGCTCTGGTTTCTGGAACAAGGTTATTTCCATGAAGTCTCTCAGTTTTTCATCACTTAAAAAAAAAGTGTGAACATAAAACAAACATATTGTGATCACTCATTTAAACGTGTACTTTTTGGTTTTGACACACTAAAATAAACAAACGGGGTCACCATTTGGATGTAAACCAAGCCCAGCATCTCTGGATACTAGAATTAGCCTGTCAAGTCTTGGAAGCCCTGTGGAACCGATACGGCGGCCACAGCCCTGAGCAAAAATAGACTGTAAGTGGTTGTTTAATAGTTACATGATGGACCTCATTAGCACTGTATATTTTGATGTTCTGAGCAAAATTGCAGTAAACAGCATATTAATGTAATCTCAACTCCTGCATATATATCTGTGAAGAATTATCTCAGATGGTTTGTGTCTCAGAATTTTAACTGACCAAGCCTGCACATTTAGCTTGCCCCGGAAGAGGTCATCATCAGGGACTTAGCCCAGTGTCAGAAGTGATCACTCGCCCGTCGTCCCCTGACCACTCAAGCCTCCCGGGGTGTGTTGCTTCAAGCCTCCCCAGGCTCGCCAGGGTGGCCGTGAACTGATCACACGACACAGTCCCGTCAAGCCTGGCCTGTCTGTCAGACTCATGGCCACTCTGTATTGTCCAGCAGCCGGTGGGGCGTGTTGGCATTTGAGTCGTTGAGGAGCGAGTTCACGCTTCCTTTTCCCTTCCCCAAACAGAAAGCGGTCCACCAAGCCTGACGCTGTGATCGACTCTCTACTGCAGTGAACGTGACCGCTCTTGAGTCACAGTCAAATGACTGCTCTTCTAGCGCCTGGACAAACGAACTGAAAATGCCTGTGTCGTTTTGAATCACGGAAGCTGTCAATTGTGGACTATGACTGGAAATCAATTTGCCTAATGCCTTTTAGCCTATATATATTAAGGTAATATAACATGTTAACATTGTGCAAGTAGCGATTGTTCAAATTGTCATGCTTACTCTTCAGTTTGAAGTTGGGGAGCAGCTCACATTCCCTTTGGGGAGCTGCCTTTAGATGGATGCGTAAGCCTGCGAGCCCTTTACCCAACTGGAGCGAGAGACCCGGACACAAACGAGGTGTGTCCCGGTTTGCACATGTGAATTAGCAGATCAGACTGTCCTGTGTTGCACTGTTATGTTTATGTGGGCAGCACATCTAAGAAATGACTCTCAACCACTTATCCCACCCTACTACTAACCTGCCCAGCCTACTGAAATCGTCCTAATTTTTATACTGCCATTCAGTGCATTTTACGTATGAGATGATTGATCTTAGAGCTCTTCTGTAGAAAAACTTGTCATCTGACAGTCAATTTCCAGAAGTGTCTACATGTTATCAAAAAAAGATAGAAAAACACTTCTTATCGGAATCTCTTCTGACCTTTTGGGGGCCACTTTTGAGTTAAAACCAGCTGGGCTGTTTAAATTATGATTTCATGTTGCCTTGAAACATTGAATTGTAGCTGGGGAGTCATCGCTGCAGGAAACTTAAAGAGCTAAACACTGGTTGCTTGTGAGATTTGCCTGCTTGTGGGGTTTTCTTGCTTGTTTGTTTAATTCTCTTGAACTATGCCACTTGAGCATCTTCCTGTCTCGGTTGTAAATGGCGATGGGAGTTGCTGAGTATCTTGGAATCGAGAAAGACCTCTGTTTGTCAGAAAATGCAACTAAAAAAGACACTTTGCTTTATTTATAAACAAAAAAATCTTCCCCAGATTTCTTCTAGTCACGAATCCAGTTAGGATGGTATTCTTAGAAAAGGAAAAAGGAGATTTAGTTTGTAGTCGGAGACGTCGTCACGGAGAAAATTGCCCTTCCACTGACCGTCACCCAAGGCGTGCTTTTGTTCGGACAGTGGCGCTGCTCCTGGGCCGCCGCCCCGGCCCTCGGCGGGCATTCAGATCCCATCCTCAGTTCTGGGACGTGCTGGATGCAGATGTTCTGGAAACTTCCTAAATTAGTTTTCATTCAGTTTCCATTATTTCAGTAAGTCTGGCTAAACATCGGTTGATCATTTTAAAAGTGTGTGTAGCGTGGGGGTGAGTGGCGTACTGGTGAGGGTGGCGGTCAAAAGTGTGCCCCTCAGTTTGGAGCATGGTTCAGAGATGAGCACCAAGTGTCTTACGCGGCATCTCTTAGGTGATCCAGGTGGCAGTTCATCGTCAGCATTTTCTGTAGTGGCGTGTAGGACGGTTCAGGTGATCACTGTACTCTCTGGGGCATTGTGTAGGTACTGGGAAGACTTGAGGTGAATTTTATGTCTTGTAAAAGTTTTATGTGAGCAGGATATCTTTGCACTTATAAAATGTTCTTGATTGTGCACATTACTTCTGTTAGTATTTGCTGTAGAGAAATATTAATTTTACCAGTAAGGGGGGTTGGGATTAATGCTTCGTCTTTGAAGTCCATGTTTCTATCCTTTACCAATCTAGCTAGTAGAACGAACATGAGGAATTTTTGAGTTAAGCTGTAAAACATTATAGAAACTCTAAGCCATTGTTGTTGAATTTTTCTCTATTTTATGCACCATAATAATAAAAAGAAATCTATGAAAAGACAAAATATTGAAGAATTCTTAAAATATGCTGTCTTTAGCAGCTTCTAAAAAGCATTACCATTACTGATTGTCCCAGATAGGCATTAAAGATTCGTTTTATGGGCTAGCAAAATGGGGTGTTCCAGCCAGGGGTTACTATTGATAGGAAAACACAGGGCACAGAGTGGAGAGTCTGCCACCAAAGCAGTCCTGTGGTTTCTTCACGTTTATTGTGTCTGTGACCACAAGTGAACGATTTTGTGACTGCAGTGTTAATTTTACAAAAGGATACAGATGTATAAGCGTGCTCCTTCTCCGGAAAAAAGCAGATTTTAAATGAGCGGCACATGCGTATAATGAGTTGTTGAATGTATATTCCTCCTCTTTTCCTTTTAATTTAAAAAGCAATATTTATTTATTAAAAAGAGCCTTGGTAGAATGTTTACCGTTTTCCAGTGTCTTCTTTATTAATGCATGCCATTATGTCTGTTTGATCGTAGGGTATTGACTGACAGTAGTACCCCCTTTTCTGCTTAGAGTCTCTTAAAGGGTACAAGTAACTGGGGTGGTCTAGAGCTTCAGGCTTATTCCACAGCAGAGCCCCTTTGATAAACTGTCTGTTTTTCTGGCGGAAAAAGAAAGTTTTTTCCAGCAAAATTTTAAAGCTAAATTTTGGGGCAGGGAGATACTATTTCATCAATAACACTTTAAAATTATGGTTTTCTGTGTGGGTTGTTTTGGATGGGTTTCCGTTTTGTTTTGTTTCTAGTCGGTCTTAAATCTCTCTTTCCCCCTACCACTACATTAACAAAAATCTCGTTCCCACAGGGCTGGGAATTAATGACTGGGGAGAGTTTACATTTCAGCACCCCCAGTGTCTGCCTGGTTTCTAAATGTACACATTTGTTTTACATTTTAGCTCTCCCTTTCTCTTAGAATGGTAGAAGGAAGCACAGATCTCTTAATGCCTTCAAACATACTGTAGAACTCCAAACTATACAATAAGTTTGTTGCATTAATTTTAAAAACCGGACTTCACTGTCATTTTTGTGTAAATTGCATTTGTTTTTAAGTTGCATCTATCAGTATGGTATGGATACATGCAGCATGGTTATATGAGAAATAAAAATCTTGACCTGATCCCGATAGTGGGTTACAGTTTTCTTGGCTAATTTTGGGTCTTCTCCCATCCTGACATTAACGGACAGGCTCTTGGTGTGGGGTCTCAGTTTCACCTGCATAAAGGGGGCCGTGTGAAGCTCTCATGTTGTGCGTCTCACAAACAGAAATCATGAAGCGGAAATCTGGAAGAGCTGTTTGTGAAGATGCTGCTTCTCACAGATACTGTTGCTTTTTCATCAAGAAATGCTTTATCCACTATTAAAAGAAACCAAGGGTGACCTCAACAATGGAAGGACATCCCATGCTCGTGTATCGGAAGACTCAATATAGTAAAGATGTCAGTTCTACCCAAGGCACTATTGTAAGTTCAATGCTATCCCGATCCAAATACCATCATCTTTCTTCAAAGAATTGGAAAAACATTACCAACTTCATATGGAGAGGGAAGAAACCCAGAATTAGCAGAAAACTCCTCAAGAAAAAGACAAAGTTGGAGGGCTTGCTTTACCCGACTTTAGCACCTACTATACAGCTACAGTGGTCAAACAGTGGTATTGGTTTAATGATAGATGTTCAGACCAATGGAAAAGGATTGAAAACCCGGAAATAAATCAGCAGCATACAGACAACTGATCTTTGATAAGGGCCCCAAAAATATAAAAAAATAAGTGGTGCTGGAGAAAATGGATACATATCTGCAGAAAAATGAAGCAAGACCCTTACCTCACTCCATGCACAAGAATAAACTCAAGGTGGATCACAGACCTAGAGGTAAAGCCCCAAACGATTAGGACTATCAATGAGGGAATTGGAACAAATCTGAGAACTTTGACTCAGGGAATACATAGGCTATTGGAAATAGGGAAGGACACAAACACAGAGGAGGCACAAATTGACAAGTGGGATAGACTAAAAATAAAACACTTGTGTACATCAAGACAATTCGCCAAGAGAGTAATAAGAGAGACCACAGAATAGGAAAACATCTTTAGCAATGACACATCAGACAAAGGCCTTATTACTAAAATCTGCAATACTCTGCTAACTTACAACAAGGAAAAAAACAATTGTCCACTGAGGAGGTGGGCAAAGGACCTGAATAGAAGTTTCTCAAGAGCAGAAATCTAAATGGCCAATAAATATATGAGAAAATGTTCCAGATCTGTACCCGTAAGAGAAATTCAAATTAAAACAACTATGAGATACCACCTAACACCCTCAAAGATAGTCCAACTCAAAAAATCAAAAAGCAACAAATTTTGGAGGGGCTGTGGAGAAATAGGAACTCTTGTCCACTGTTGGTGGACATATAGGTATGTACAGCCGTTATGGAAATAGATTTGGTGATATCTAAAACAGATGGAAATTGAGCTATTATATGATCCAGCAATCCCCCTACTGGGCAGATACCCAGAAGGGACAAGAAACAAACCACGGCCAGACATCTGTGATCTCCAGGGTTCATCGTGGTGCAGTTCACAATTGCAAGGAATTGGAAAAAACCCAAATTTCCATCGACAGGTGAATGGATTAAAAACCTGTGGTACTTACGTACAATGGAGTATTACGCATTCCTAAAAAGCAGTGATGAATGCATGAAGCATATCACTGCATGGGAAGAACTGGAGGAAATTATACTAAGCAAAGTAAGCCAAGCACAAAAGGACAAGTACAACATATGAGTCCGCTGAGGTAAGCTCAGAAAATTCAAAAGGGGCATAGGGAAGGAAGCTACTGTATGCATACATTCCTGGGGTGAGGTCCAGGTAATGTGGCAGGGGCCAGACTAAACCCAGGGATCCATATGGTAGCCAACTAAAAAGGAGAAAGAGATAAAAAATAAGACATGGGTAGCTGGGGGAACGGCACTAACCCACCCAATGGGAGGCTGTTGTTTATATCTCCACAGGGGAAGAAGGGACCAGACTTCAACCCAGTGCTCCAGGACAAGAACACAACACCGGCATGAAGCAGGGAACCAATAGAGAGGCCTGAGGGGCCGCCCCCATTACCAACTGCGTGGACAGCAAGTGGACAGCCCTCTCTACCCCCAGAATTCATTTCAGAGGACAGCATTGAAGCTTTAGCATTGAGGGACGTGTCTGATCAGACAGGAGCAAATGAGGAGGGAGGAAAAAGAGTGAAGCACATCCTGGCCCACCGAGCCCGGAGGACAATATTTCTGCTCAGAGCAGCTAATGCACAGAGAGGACCATAGGGCCAGCTCACCACGAGACACGACACTCCTCACTGACCCATAGCGCCACGGGGGACAACACTGGAGACACATGGTGGGAATTTTGCCCGCCCTGACCCCACCACACCAAGGCGAAACACTAAGGGTGGACAACAGAGCAGCAAGGGGGGCAGAGCAATGAAGTCCCCAGGGACTTCCAAAAACAGACTGTGGGGCCAGGGTGTGGGGCCCCAGGGAACACCAAAAATAGACTGTGGGGCCAGGGCATGGCGCCTCATCAGACTGGAAAACACTTGTAAAGGACAACAAATAGACTTAAACTATTTATAGGCTTTTCTTTTTTTATTATTGTTACAGCTATTGTTTTATTTTCTTTTGTTGTGCTCAGTCTTGTGTTTGTGCATGTTGTCGCTACGTGTCTGTCTGAATGGGATAGGTGGGATAAACAAGCTGTAAGAGAGAACAACAGGATGACAGTTTGGGGGGCATGGGAGAGGGGAGGCAGGGGAAAGGAAGTGGGTGTAAACAAACCCAGGGACAAGGAACAACAAGTGACCAAAAATCGGTGGTGAGGAGGGTGTACGAGGTCTGATAAGGCTTATTGATCAAGGCAATGTAACCGAGAGGAATGACTAAGACTCAAATGAAGGCTGAGCATGATAGTGGGACAAGAGAAAAGGAAAAGGAAATAGAGGAAAGAACTAGGAGGCAAAGGGCATTTATTGAGATCCAAATACAGGCATGTACACATGTAAATATACTTACATATGATGATGGGGAAATATAGCTGTGTACATATATTTATAGGGTTAGGATTAAGGAATCAGATGGGGATTGGGCTTCTACTCTAGT